TTACACAACCAGGCTAAGGAATCAAATCTTAAATGTGAGGCAGGCAAAGAAAATTCTTAGTTTTGGAGCACTGAAGGATCAAGAATCTAATTGTAGTTGTGCACTCTCTGTTATGAGACAGGCATTAGGAAGCACTACCTGCCAGAAGGCGCCTTACACAGGAACACTGCTCCCGCCCCTCAGGCTTTTGAGTAAAATTCATAAATTCAGCCATCCCTTGATGAAGCAAAATGAGGAAAACCTGGACCCTAGCAGTAAGGTGGAAATGCATCCCATTCACGTAATCAATTGTTGAGAATGTCAATTAGATTTGGTGCTGTCCTTTGGGAGAACATGACCAGTCGTGAAATGTCCTGATAGAGTTGGCTCAGCAGTAACTATGGACATGTGTATAGCCTGAAAACAGCAAGGCTCACGTTTCCAACTTCCCAGCTGTGAGTGCCTGCGAGCGAAGACGGTGCGTGAACCCTGCCATGCTGGCTGGTGTCCAGCTGCTCTGTAAGCAGCAGGTGCCAACAAAGCCTCAATGGTGACTCTATGTTCCTTTCCTGGGCAAGGGTGCTGGGGAACTTGGGAAGAATGATTTGTCCTAGATGGAGTGCAGTGGTCTCATGGTCTCCAGTGCGACATTTCCTACAGAACTCAGAATGGCTGGTGGTTTCTGTGGAGCTATCAGCAGAACAAGTGTTACATCACACATTGCTCAGGATCAGGCCATCTCTAACCCCACTTCCAGACCTTCCCTCTCCTAGAACCAGAAGGGCTGCTGCCCTGGCTGTTGTGGAAAGCGTGGTCTTCAAAGACAGACCTCCTCCCCGAACTGGAAACACCTTAAAGCCTGGGAAGTTTACTGAATTTAATAAATGACTGTTTCCCTATTCCTCTTTTGTAACTCTTGTCATAATTACAGGGATTATGACTTAAAGACACACTGCCATTGTATCTTGGGCTCTAGATGATGAAAATTTAATTCTGAACAATGACAAAAATGAATTCTGTGAGTGTAATTATGAGACTTCTGTTTCGCCACTGTGTAAAGGTAAACCAAGCATGGTAAAAATAATTGAATTTTAAAAACTTTATGTCACAAAGTTACATTAAGATTTCAAGTTTTTTAAAAAAATGTTTTAAATTAGCAGCAACTCTCATGCATGCTGCATTCAAACTAACAGAGTGTACATCTGTATCTTCCAAGTGTCATCAAACTGTTTCAAAAATAAATTGTATTTTCGTTCATGGAAAGCTCTCTCTGGCTTCCATGGCGTGTTTGTCCATCCCTCAGAAGTCTACTGTGTTTTGCTGGATTCGCTGGTTCTGCTCTGGAAGTGGCCTTATAAGGCTCCTAATATGCGCCCACCACTCAGGTTCATCAGGTCCCTCTGTTCAGGGAAAAAAAGAGAGGTTCAGGCACTGCGATCTCTGGCTGACCTAGTTAACACCGGAATGCCCCCATTAAAGAGAAAGCATAGCTCCCTAGGAGGAAAATGCATCACCAAACCATGCAGGAACCTCTGTTTGCAAAGACACTATGTCGTTAGAAAAGTCTTTTTAAAAAGAACGGGATCCAACCTCTTCTCAGGAAAATAGCTTTTGGACTAGATCTGTAAGGCTCAGAAATGCACAGTCCATGCCGGGCGTGGTGGCGCACGCCTATAATCCCAGCACCCCGGAGGCTGAGGCAGGAGGATCGTTGTGAGTTCGAGACCAGCCTGGGCCACAAAGTGAGCTTAAGGCCAGCCTGAACTACATAGTGAGACCTTGTCTCAACAAAACAAAACCAAACAAACAAACAACCAAAAAAAAGCACACTCCAAACCATATTTGCTTTTGCTGCTGTAAGGCAGTAGAACTTCCTGACCTCTGACCTCGCCCAAGTCAGGCGTAGAGGTCTGCAAATTGCTCCCTACCTTATCAGCTCAACAGAAGCGGAGTTCCCAGCCGCCGCGCGCCCACTCCCGCGCCTGCACAAGCGCGCGTAGGGGCCCTCTCTGCATCCGCTCACGACGCGCTACTTCTCCCTTTCTCACCCACCAATTCAAATCACAAACCCTTACACCCCCACAATACCAGAAAAATCTGAAAAATATCCATTCTATTTTTGGCAAAAACCTCGGAGATATTACACCGGAACCTAACGCCGCACTAATTCCTGCGCAGGCGCAGATCGGAAACAGATCGGACCGGCGTAGTGCACGTACTCTGGGGGCTGCGAGTGGGACGCACCACTCTGCCGCGAGGGTCGCCGGGAGTTGTAGTTCCAATTCGGCTGCACACGAACCCGCCCACAGTTACCTGGGAGTCGTAGGCCACGGACCTACAGCCTTCTGGGAGACCGAGTCCCGTCGCCTGCTTCCGTGTTTTGCCGCGCCCGGATCCTCCCGCGCGGGTTCTGCCCGGGTGAGCGCCCATCCCTCGCCGGTCCTTTGCCACACTGCCTGGTCGGAGCTGAAATTACCTGTTTCTCTCGCAGCATTCTGGTAGGCGTCCCTGGGAGACGGCCTCCTTTCGTGATCCCCAGCGCCTGTCCCGCGGGAGTCCCCTGGGCAGATGCTGTGCAGGCAGACCCGCTCTGGAGTTGGGTGCTTAGACCTTGCGTGGTCAGGGGTGGCCTGGGGAGCTCAGGCGGCTGTGGGAGCCCAGAGCAGGCGCCAGACTTAGCCCAGAGCTCAGGACCCACTTCCCAGGACCACGGAGAACTCGGCCACGTCCGAGGGAAACCCAGATTCTCTGCCCTAAAGTCCACCCCTCTCGAAAGTCTTTCCCTTGTGGCTGATCTCCCACTTCCGCCACACTGACCTTCCAAGGGCTCAAGCAGCCCCTTGGCGTTGTCCCGTATCTCCTGTTTCCCTCGTCCACATCCCTCCCACAACCAAGACTTGTGTGAATCGCTTGGGCTGCATCTCCACAATCTGACCGTTTCTTCCCGCCCCCGGCCCCGTCCACCCTCCACAGTTCTGTCAGTCCTTATGGCTTCCATGGGCCGGTGTAGGAGCCACCCCACTGCTCTGCCTGTGTCTGCCCTGGCCTCTTGCTACTCTTGTAGGCCAAGGGATCCCGTTAAAATATAAATCAGATCGAGCTACCCCCATAGCATAAAATAGTCCAGTGGTTCGCATCTCATTCACAGTAAAATTCCACCTCTCCACCTTACCAACCCCCGAGACTCCCTCTGTGGTCCTCAGTGACAACACCTTCCACCCAATTGAACACAGCTAGGCCCCGCCCTTTAGGTCCATCCTTTGCATTTGCTATTAACTCTGGAACATTCTTCCTACTTTTTCTATTGCTTGAGTCCTCATCCTGCTGGTCTCAGCTCAAAGGCTTTCTCTGATCACCCCGGCTTTTAGAACCCACTCCCCGTTCCCTCAGCCGCAGCACCAAGGATAATTTCCTCACACTGCTTTTTCGTATTTGGAAAACGTCTTATTTACTCTTTACCCATGGTATAGCCCTTCCATTAGAACATTAGTGCCCAAAGAACTGTGTCTTCTTCTGCACACTATGTCCCTAGTGCCTACAGCATGTTGGCTAGTACAAGACTCTGTGGATATTTGTTGAATGATACTGTCGTTTGAGCTGAGACTGGAAGATAAGAACCAAGTCACCAAAGCATTCTGTAAAGAATGCCCGGACAATGAAATCAGCCCAAAGTGCAGGTGGTGGTGGTGTAGGACAGTCCACCAGCAGTTCACCTGCATGAGGTTGGTGGAGGCAGGACATGAAAGGCCACCAAGGACCTGAAACACCAAAAGTGGGGTTGCTTCAGGGGCTGGACTGAATCTGATGGGGACCCTAGGAGATGGCCCCAGGACTGGGTGACTGCAGGTTTAGAAGATGTGAAAGAAGAATCCTGTTCTGTAGAGGTGCTAGGTGGAAGGGCTGCTCTGGAGAGACAGGAAAAGAGCTCAGTAACTTCCTGCGTTGGGTGGCAGTGGCATGTCAGTTTGGGCACTGAAAGGATGTGAAAGAAGGCCAGTGGGAATGTATGGCTTCCATGTTTGGCATGTAGAGGACTAGGGTATTGGACACTGATTTAGAGTCACCACCAAGAGAATGAAAACAGAGGTGCTGGGAAGACCATGGAGAGCCCTTCCTAAAGGGGACTGAGTAGGAACAGGGCGGAGGGAGGACCGAATCAAAAACTGGGAGAAAAAAATTTCAGAGGACCATGCTCATTGGTGACAGATATGCCTGACGGTCATGATGGGTGAGTCCTGAAGGCCGCTTGCTTCAGGGAGAGGGATGAGTGCTCTGAACGGAGGAGCAAGCCAGTGCCAGCATCTGGAGACAGGCATGTTCCTTTAGAGACCAATGTGGCAGACGTGACAGTGGGTGGAGATGGATGTGGTTCAGAGAAAAGAAGTCAGAGCTCTCAGGGCCTCACAATTAGCACTTACTAAAGCAATGAGATTCTGAGAAAATGCTGGGCAGGATCCCATTGGCTGCTGTGTGGAGAAGGACATGTACAGAGGAGGGGAGGTGGACGCAGGGAGTCCAGTGATGGCCTGGATTAGGTTGCCGGCCATGGAGATGTTGAGGAGCACTTGGCCTCTGGATTTGTTTTGAAGCTACAGCCAAACAGAATCTGAGTATACACCATCCTCAGTGGGGCATTTAAAGGTAAGGTGAGAGCCGGTGGGGAGAGTGACAAGCGTGGTCCTGGACCTCAAGGCTTCTGGCCGGGGCACCTGGAACGCTGGAGCTGCCCTTTACTGCAGGAGGAGCCTCTTTGCTTAAAGGAGTTGGAAATTTGGAGTGTGAGATACCTGTTAGATATCTCGGTGGCACTTGTCCTTGGCTTCATGCCATCTTGAGGGCAGCTCTCTCAGTTCTGGGGTGAAGGACAGTAGTGGATGAAGAAAGAGACAAAAGTCAGAGCACAGGGGCTGGGGATTTAGCTCAGCGGCAAAGCGCCTGCCTGGCAAGTGCAAGGTCGTGAGTTCGGTTCCCCGTACCGGAGAAAAGCCAAAAACAAACAAAATTAAAAAGTCAGAGCACAGAAAGCTGAGGTCAGGTGGAGCCCTCTCTCCTGATGGGAGAAAGGAACTGCTCAATGATGGCAGTGCGTTCATTCATACACTTGGCGGAGGGATGTCACGTGACGCCCCTCTGCCTAGCAACCTGTTTGCTCGGATTGCCTCCGGCCTCTGGGCTCTCCTCGTTCTCACAGCTGGAACAGTCTCTTCACGTGGCTCAGCTTAGGCGCACTGCAGCTCTGAGTGATCTCCAGCTTCAGCCATTCCCCACAGCCTCATGGTACAGACAGTAACAATACAGTCATCAAATAACTCTGAGCATTCTGGTGAGTCCAAGAAATAGCCTGACCGGCTCTGAATAGGAAGTGGTAACTGCAGTTGTCCAAGTTGTCCAATCTTGACATGACGGAGGGGAACTTTCCCCCTGGTCCTCTCCACACAGGGACGCCGTCCAGCAGCCTCCCCGCAGTCCAGCTTCCCGCGTCACCCGCTTCTCTCTCCCGTCCAGGAGACGCCGCCCCTCCCGCTGACCCCGCGATGCCCGCCCCGACCTGCGCCTCCTGCCGCTCGGCCCG